GGATTTAGTTGGCAGTTTGGAGGCTGGGGAGAGGAACACAGGGAACCCCAGGGCTGGGGTCTAAGCTCCCTGCTCCCCCAGAAGGACGTGACTGAGGGGTCCTGGTTGTACCCACAAGCTCTGTTGTGGACTGTGTTCCTGTTGTCCAATAAACCTTCTGTTTTACTGTCTGGCTGAGAGTCTCAGTGAATCCCTGGAAGAGGGGTGCAGGGCCTGGACTCCCCCACACTCCGCGACACTTGGCCATCCCTGGATGTCATTGATTCCATTTCACCAATTCTAGCTCCCATCTGTATCTTTTTTCTTTTCTGAATAAACCTTTAGATTTTAGATTCTAAAGGATTGGCAACAGCGTGATTTGTGGGCAAGAGCTGACTTGTACATTGACCTGGGTCTGGGGCTTTGTCCTTTGGGATCGAGAGAAGCTTTGTTCTTTTACTGGGGTATTGGTTTTCATAACCATTCATCCCCATACCGAGTGGCACTGGTGGGGATACTGGGAAACTGGGGTGTCTAAGGGAATTGCTTGTGTGACTTGTGGTTAGCCAGGGGGGTAAAAGCAAAGTCTTCTGTGTCTGGCTGGTTTGGTTTGCCTTGGTGGGCACAGAAACCCCAGCCCTGGGCTGTAACTGCCCTGCTTGAAGCAATTTGTCCTGAATTGGCACTCTCCGTTGGGTCCCACCAGAACCAGCCTCGTTACAGGCGGGTTCCCTACATCACCGGATCAGGGCAGGTTCCCTGGGTCTCCGGATCAGGGCAGGTTCCCTGGGTCTCCGGATCAGGGCGGGTTCCCTGGGTCTCCAGGTCACTGGATCAGGACGGCAGAGTCCCTGGCCCCAGCGCAGAGAAGCACAAGGCCAGTAGAGGGGAAAATCCTACGAGCCCATCAAACCCCAGGCGTGTGAGTGACAAGGACGCTGCGTGTGCCTCCAGCCCTGTCCCCCCGGGCGTCCGGGGCGGGGATGGTGGCCTGGGGCTGGAGGGGAGGGGAGGGGAGGGGAGGCTCAGACAGAGCCATTGAGGTGGGAGGACAGAGGGGGCAGGGGGTCCCCTTGTTAACATCTCCGGGCCATGTCACCTTTTCACATGGGGAACAGAGGCCAGCGGGTCCCTTCCGCTGAGCCCCGGCGGGGGGAGACACCCCCCTGCACAGAAGCCCATGGGGAGGGCTGGCAGCTGCCCCAGATGGGAGCAGGGGAGGCGCAGGGCCCCGCCCTCCAGCTGCCCCTTCCCCCCGCGCCATTCACATGGTAACGAGGACAAATTGATGGAGACGTCTCCATTGTGGCCTGTCTCTGGCAGGCCCTGGCCCAGCCACCCGCCACCCACAGCCAGCCCCATCCATCACCGCCCAACCCTGCGTGAGCTGGGCCAGGGCCAGGACCAGGACGGAGCAGAAGGGTCCCACCCCCCCCCATACCTCCCCCCAGGGCACTTTCCAGGGTGCCCAGCTCCCCTGCCCACAGGCAACGCTGCGTTCTTAGTGTGACAGGGACCAGCCTGAGTGCCCGGGCACCGCCCCCGGCCATGCCCCGGTTCCCCCACCCGCTGCCCCGCCTCACCGCTGCCCTGGCACGGCCCCTTGGGGGGCGGTCTCTGCGCCCCGTTCGCTCCTTGGGCTCACAGCAGGGACCCCGAGGAACCAGCAGGGGCCGGCTGCCATGGAGCCAAGAACAGGCCTGGCCTTGCCTGGCACAGGAATGGCTGTCGGTGCCGCCCCCACAGGGTCCAAATGGGGAGCAGAGGGGAAAGACCCCAGATTCCATTTGCTGAGCCAGCCAGTCCCTGCCCTGGGGCCAGATGGGAGCCCTCGCTCCCCCCCCCCCCCCGAGCCAGCCAGTCCCTGCCCCATGCCCCATTCCCCGCCCCCCTGAGCCAGCCAGCCCCTGCCCTGTGCCCCATTCCCTGCCCCCCTAGGCCAGCCAGTCCCTGCCCTGGGGCCAGATGGGAGCCAGAGCCCCCAAGAGGGGACAGGCCCCATGTCCTGCTCTGCGCTGGCTGGGCACCGGGGCTGGCTGTGATTTAGGAAGCGGGCCCTGGCGCGATGGAGCCCCCTGCCAGCTGGCCGCAGCTGAGCCGGGAGGTGGGGAGGCAGTGGGAGGAGGTGGGCCCTGAACTCCCAAAGGGCAGAGCCAACCCTCCCCTCTTAATTAGAGCCAGTCCCCCCTCCCTGTCCAGCCTGGGACAATTGAAACCTCACTCCATAAAGCTCCTCTCACGGCCTGACCCCGGGGACCCTGGGGACCAATTTGTCCTGCTCTGTAATAAGAACCTAATTAAATTAGCTGCCAGCGGCCTCGGCATTAGCCCCCCCTCCCCGGTCCCACGTCGGCCTGAGCGCCGGCTCGCTCCGCGCTGGGCTGGGGCTGAGCGGGGTCCCTGGGCGCCCGGAGCCTGGCCCCAGGGCTGGAGTCCGCACGCTGGCACTGGGGGGGTTGCTGGTGCCGGGCAGAAGGGGGAAGGGGGGCACTGAGCAAGGAGACGGAGGGGTTTGGCTGGGCTGAAGGCAGCGCGGGGGTCGGTGACATGGTGGGAGTCAAAGCAGGGCCTGGATTTAGGGTGGGGGGGACACGGACTTGCCTGTCAGGATGGATCCAAAAGGGGTGGAGAAGAAATGGCCAGACTGGCTGGGGGAGGCGGCTGGGAGCTTGGGGGGGAGGTGGAGGGGGCCCTGGGCCCTGAGACACGAGTTGGGGGCTCAGGGAGAGCCAGAGGGAGCCTGAGAAGCAAGTTGGGGACTCAGGGGAGCCGGAAGGGGCCCCAGGGCCTGAGAGGCAGCTGGGGGCTCAGGGGGAGTTGGAGGGGGCCTGAGACGCGGCCGGGAGCTCAGGGGGAGCCGAAGGGGGCCCCAGGGCCTGAGAGGCTAGTTGGGGGCTCAGGGGGAGCCAGAGGGGGCCCAAGGCCCTGAGAGGCGGCTGGGGTCTCAGGGGCAGTTGGAGGGGGCCTGAGAGGCGGCTGGGGGCTCAGGGGGAGCCGGAGGGGGCCCCAGGCCCTGAGAGGCGGCCAGGGGATGGGGCCGGACCAGTTTGGCCAAGGGCTGTGACCTCCAGGAAGGGCTTCGGGCCAGTCCCGACAGCCCACGGGGACCCCACTCCTCTCCCGCCCCCAGGGTGACTCCCGGGCTGGGGATGGCGTCAGGGAGGCCCAGCCCTGCTGCCTGGACGGGCCGTGTTGGGGTGACTGGAGGGCCCCCAGGCTGGACCCCATCCAATGACCTTGCCCTGCGCCCACCACACCTGGCGGAGCCCGAACTCGCTCCTGGCCCTGCTGTGGGCGCCTGGCTTGGCAGCACCTGCCTGGTCCCCCTGGGCCTGCACTGGACCCCGGTTCCCCAGGCGGGGGCTCCCCACAGCCCTGGGGCAGCCCTTGGGGGGGCAGGGCCCTTCCCGGGGGGAGGGGGAACAGCCAAAGCCCCCCGCCCCTGGCAGAAGAGGGCTCAGGCCTGGCGCCCAGCTTCCCGGCCCCTGGCGGATTTGCTGTAGGGCAGCGCCCCCTGCTGTCCCTTCGGGAGGGCTCCCGGGGCGGCTTTATATGGGCTCCCATGGCACAGCGGGGCCAGGCCAGGAACGGGGTGGGAGACTCCCGGGCAAGTGCAGGTCTCTCCCCTCGGAGTCAGGGTTGCCCCCGGTGCCCCGGCCCCTATGCCAGCGGGGGTGCCAGCTGCCAGAGCCCTGGGCCCTCCACCTCCTGCCTCCCGTGGGCATGACAGGCCCCCTAGCACTTCTCCTGCGTGGCCCATTCCCACGGACGTGACCCCCAGCTCCCCCCCCCCCCGGGATTTCCATGGAGTGTTTCCGAGGGTGTCGTGTGCTGGTGGGGGGCGCTGTGCTCCGCTCCAGAGCTGGCCGCATTTCCCGCTATGTCCTGCGTGGCCAGGGAGGCTCCTGGCCGGGGTCGGGGCAGGGGACGGCGGCTTGCGGGCGTTTGCCCTGGGCTTGGCTCGAAACCACAGAGACGCGTGGAGCACCCGTGAGTCCATCGGTTTATTGGCCTCGTCCCCGACCGGGAAATTGCCCTCCAGTGAAGAGACAAGCGGGTTGCGGCCCGCTCCGGCCAACGGGCGCCAGCCACGCCGGCTTTACAATAATCTTAAATAATTTCTGCTTTGACCCCCCCAGCCCACCCCCGGAGCCTCCGCCACAGGGACACCGGCTCCGTTACAGAGAGCAGAGAAATAAATAACGGGGGGCTGATGCGGCAGGAGGGGGACACGGCCCACGGCCGAGCCACAGACACTGAGCCACTGACTAGAGCTGGGGGGGTCCCTGTGGCTGGTGCTGCCAGCGGGGGGGGAGTTCCCTGTCACGAGGGGAGCAGCCATGACTTACCCTGGGGGGGGGAGTCTGGTAGCCAGTTCAAAGCCCAGGGGGGGCACCTGGTTTTGTGGGCGTGAATGGCACAGATGGGGTGGGGGCAGGAGGAGGTGGGTGATTTCAGAGCCCGCGCCTGCACTGGTGCTATTTTTAGTAATATTTGGGGGGGGCTCTCCACCCCATAACCCCCCCCCCAGCTCCCCACACACACAGGCTCACATCTGGCTAAGAGGCACCTCCCCGGCTCTGCAGCCCAGCCCGGCCCAGATCTCGCCCTCCACCGGCGCACCGTGCCCAGGAACCCCGTCCCCACCCCCGGGCCCCAAGCCCCCCGGTGCCCTCCCCCGCTCACACTCACCCCAGGGCCCCCCGGCCTGGCTGGGCAGCCTCGTGTCCTCAGAAGCCGCGTGGCTGGCCCATCCCTGGGGGCACCAGCTCGTTCTCAGCAGCGACTTTGCTGGCGCAGGGGGCTGCCCTGCCGGGAGGGGGTGTCTGCCCAGCCCAGCCCAGCCCTTGGGGCGCAGGCAGTCGGGCGGCCTGGCTGGGCACGGAGCCGCTCTGGCACTCAGATCTCTCCTCTGCCGTGCCCTGCCCCCCACCGGCCCCTGTGCTGGGCACCTCCACACACCCCCCGCCATTGCCCCCAGCATGGGGGGCTCCCGCCTGGCCCCTCCCCCTTCACCACCGTCCCTGGAACTCGCCTCACGCACAAAAATAGCAGCATGTAGATTCATCTGGGGGCGCCCCCCCAGCAGCCCCCGTCCCGGGGCCCTGGGCTGGTTGGCAGAGCCCAGGCTGGCAGGGAGCCGGGGCAGCCCTGGCGCCAGCAGCAGACAGGGGAGACTGGCGTCCGGGCCCCACAGGTCCAGGCCTCCCGGAGCAGCTGGGGTAGCTGGGGACATGAGACGGGTCCCCCAGCCCCAGGCTGGTGGCTCCGCAGGGGTCTGTCCGTGGTGGTGCCCAGCCTCGCTGGCACACGGGACCCGGGCCCAGGGGAGGACGTGCCCCAGCCTCCCTGCCCACTCTGGCCGGGCCCTGCGCGGGCTCAGCCGGCCCCGCTTCCTAGGGCAGGCGGCATTCAGAGCGTGGATGGCTCCTCTTCCCAGGCAGCTGCCCCGGGCACTGCTCCCGGCAGAGCGGCCCAATGGCCACCCCTCCGCCCGTCCCTCTCCTCTCCCCGGCAGCCCTCAGCTCTCGAACTGGGCCGTCCCCAGCGGGTGGAAGCTCTCCGGGGCCAGCAGCAGCCGGCCCAGGTGGTACAGCAGCCCCGAGTACCAGTGCACACCCTCCGGCTGCGTCCTGTGCCCGCCCGCCAGGCTATGGTACAGCCGGAGCGGCCAGAACGCCAGCTGCGCCAGCCGCTGCTCCTGCACCAGGGCGAAGCAGGAGGCCACCACATCATCCACCACCAGGGTCCCGTGACGGGTGAGGGGGGCGTAGGCCCCGAAGTCCGTCTGGGTGGAGACATCCACCACCCTGGCCGGCCGCAGGCTCATCCCCACCTCTGCCACCAGCACGTAGTGCCCGGGCCGCACGTGGCTGGCGAAGGCGGCCTGGAAGCGGGCAGCGGGCGCCGTGGAGTTCTCGGCCACGAACAGCAAGTGGGCAGGGGTCAGGGCCAGTCGACGGGGCGGCTCCTGGGTCTCGATCACGTGGAAGGTGGTGGGCGCCGACGCCTCCTTGTCCAGGAAGGCCAGGAAGTCGCTGTAGGTGGCCCGGCCCTGCTCATCCATAGCCAGCACCCGCTGCCCCGGGCGCAGCGCCCACAGCGGGGTCCTCGCCCCACTCTCCAGCGTCGCCAGGGCCCGGGCAGGGAAGCAGCCACCCGTCTTCGCTGCCGCCGAATGCTCTAGAGGGAACGAGAGAGGACAGGGCGGTTACCCTGCGGATCCCTGACCTGGCGGGCCATGCAGCCACCTCTGGGGTGGGGCGTAGGGTCTGTTTATACAGGGAGACCACCCACCCCAGTGCTGACATGTGGCTGCCTCTGGGGTGGGACCTGCCTCAACCCAACAGCCAGAGCCAGAGTGCAACCCCCCCAATTTACCCCACACTTCCTGTAAGGGCAATATTCTGCACTGCCCCCCATGCGCCCCAGGACCCTTCACCCCCTCCACACCCCAGCTTGAAAACACCCAGTAACCTACCCACTGCCCCCAGCTCACAATCCCATCCTGCCTCCATTTGTATCCCATCCCCCACCCCCACCTGCAGCCGCATCCCCCCCAGCTGGGGGGTTCCAGGCACGCCCCGAGGAGCACTGAGCATGGGGTGGGGGTGGGGCTGTAACCGAGCCCCCAATCTGTAGGGCTCTGTTGCTAGCGGGGTGTGTGGGGGGGGGTCAGCAGGTCTCCCACTGGCCCTGTGGGGCCTGTCGCCCATCTGCCCTCACAGCCAGAAACCTGCTCCAGGCTTGGGGGCCGGAGCCAGACCCGCTGCACTGGGCAGCCGGCTGGGGGTGGGACTGTCTGCAGCTCCTGCCAGCTGGACCCCGGGCAGGCGAGGGGGGTGTTACCGGGCTGGCGCCCCCAATGCCAACCCCCAGGTGAGTTCGCCCCAGCCTGTGCCCACAAGACTGGCTGGCCCACGGGTGCTGGGGGGGGGGGTTTAGTCACCAAACCCCTGGAGGGGGCAGGGAGCGTGGAGCAGGAGGGTTTGGGGGGTAACATCCCAGAGGGGGCAGGGAAGGGGTTTGGGGGGGAACATCCCCGGGAGCTGGCCTATCTCCAGTGCAGCACCTGCCAAAGTGGGGGGCTGGAGCACTGACAAGCTGGCCACCCCACCCCCCATGCTGAGCTCCAGGGGGCTGGGCGCCCAGGGTGGTGGGCAGGTGGGCACTGGGAGGGGGGTCCAAGGGTTGGGTGCCCAGGGGGGTGGGCACTGGGGGGTCCAAGGGCTGGGTGTACAGGGCTTTCTCTCACCCCTGTTCCCTTCCCACCGCCTCCCCCTCACCTGCTCCCACCCCTCAGCGCCCCCCAACCTTCTCTCTTCCCTTTCACCCACACCTCCCCCACTCCTCCTGTCCCCCTGCACAGCCCCTCCCCAGCTCCTCCTGCCCCTCCGCCCCACACAGCCCCACTCAAACTCCCGCCCCCATGTGACACCCTCATCCAGATATGGCCTCCTGCCCCCCACTTCCCTGCCACTTGCAGACCCCCCCCCCGGCTCCCTTCCTGGGCAGGCTCCCCCTGGCACTCCCCCCCCCAGGCCAGCAAGAGGGAGAATGGCCTATCCTTGCTGGGGCCCCACCCTGGGCTGGAGGCTGATTGAGAAAAGCATCAAACTCCAGAGCAAATCCTTTTATTTCCCACAGTTGCAGATTCAGCCCCCGAAGGTGCCCCTGGGAGCCGCCCCCCAATCCTGCCCAGGCCCCTCAGCACCAGCACCAGCCCCACGGGGGGCTCAGAGCCTGGCCACAGGCAGAGAGTGACGCTGCCTGGCCTGGCTCAGTGCCAATGGGGGGGGGAACCAGTGGGGAGAATTTAAACCAAATGAGGGGGAGAAAGCCCCGGCAGGGGGATGGATCCGGCCAGGGACAGTCCCTGGGGCAGAGCCCCGAACCTGGGCACCTGGCACCACCTGCTGGCCCTGATCCTGCCTGATAGAGAGACTCCCCCAGCCCATCGGGATGGGCACAAAAGAGCCAGGCCGGGGAGTGCGGGGGGCCACAGAGGAGCAGGGGTCACTGGGGCAGACATGGAGGGCAGGCATTTGGGGCGGGGCAGAGGGGAGGTGATGGGGGGTGTTCGGGCAGGTGGGGGGGACAGAGCAGGTGGGGGCAGGTGAGGGGACACTCGGGGGGGGTGTTTGCGGGGGCAAAGGGGAGGTGATGGGGGGTGTTCGGGGCAGGCCGGGGGGAGGAACAGATGTGGTGATGGTGGGGGTGGGCATGATACACAGAAGGGTCCCCGTGGCCACGGTACAAAAATAAAATGGGTTTATTCCCCGGCATGGGGCAGGCCAGCTGCCCCCGACGTGCAGAGCTGAGGATGGGGAGCAGCCCCCCCCGCAGCCCGCGCCCGGTCCCAGCCACGCACCACGTGCTCCCAGTGGCGTGGCAGACACGGGGGGGGGTCCCCAAAGATCGTGGCAGGAGGCCTGGAGCCCAGGGGCGCAGCAGCCGCACACTGGAGCTCCCTAGCCAGGGCCACTCGGTGCCCAGCTGCCAGCTCCCTCCATTGTCCGGGGGCCCTGCCCTGCTCTGTCCTCTCTCCAGCACGGCTCGCTCCTGGTCCCGGTCGCGCCCATCCTGGCCTGGGCCGGGGCAGCCGGTCAGCGTGGGGGCCCAGGCTGTGTCCGAGCAGGCGAGGCTGATGGATCCAGGCCAAGGCATCAGGACGGGCCCCGCGTGGGGGGAACCGGGGCCTAGCAAACGCTTCCTGCCCAGCGGCCAGAGCCCAGAGGCTGGGCGTGCCCAGGGCGCCTCCCATCACGCTACTGGGCAAAGCACAGCGAGAAGAGGCCACAGTCAACGCCCGCCCGCTCGGCCCGAACCCGCCTCCTCTCGAGGGGCACGTCCTGGGGGTGCTGCGGGACGGGAATTATCCGGGGGTCTCTGCTGGGAGGAATCTGCGCACCGTGCACCACAGACCCCTCACTGCCCGCCGGGCTGCCAGGGCCCGGGGAGCTGGCGCCAGGTCCTGGCCCTGCCGCCCGGGCGGGTCCTGTGGCCAGGCGGCCGCGCCGTGCCCAGGCCCTCAGGGCTCAGGGACAGGCTCCCGGCGAGGATTTGACGGGACAATCGGCTCCTGCCCAGAATTCACCCCGAGTCGTGCCGGAGTGAGGGTCCCCCCAGCCCAGCTCCAGTGGTGGGGAGCCCCAGCAGCCCTCACAGAGCAGGGGCAGGGATCCCGCGAGAGCAGGGCCCCCCAGCAGGGCCTCCCAGTCCTGTGCGCTCATGTCTGGGTGGGACAGACGCTCGCACCCCGAGCCAACGGCAACAGACAAAGCAGGTGATGACGCCTCAATCCCAAACACAGCCTGACCCCTCACTCCCGACCCGCAGCCCCTGCCAGCCCAGCCCTGGGCTCCCCCCAGCTCTGCCGGTGCCCCTCACTCCCGACCCGCAGCCCCTGCCAGCCCAGCCCTGGGCTCCCCCCAGCTCTGCCGGTGCCCCTCACTCCCGACCCGCAGCCCCTGCCAGCCCAGCCCTAGGCTCCCCCCAGCTCTGCCGGTGCCCCTCACTCCCGACCCGCAGCCCCTGCCAGCCCAGCCCTGGGCTCCCCCCAGCTCTGCCGGTGCCCCTCACTCCCGACCCGCAGCCCCTGCCAGCCCAGCCCTGGGCTCCCCCCAGCTCTGCCGGTGCCCCTCACTCCCGACCCGCAGCCCCTGCCAGCCCAGCCCTGGGCTCCCCCCAGCTCTGCCGGTGCCCCTCACTCCCGACCCGCAGCCCCTGCCAGCCCAGCCCTGGGCTCCCCCAGCTCTGCCGGTGCCCCTCACTCCCGACCCGCAGCCCCTGCCAGCCCAGCCCTGGGCTCCCCCCAGCTCTGCCGGTGCCCCCTCACTCCCGACCCGCAGCCCCTGCCAGCCCAGCCCTGGGCTCCCCCAGCTCTGCCGGTGCCCCTCACTCCCGACCCGCAGCCCCTGCCAGCCCAGCCCTGGGCTCCCCCCAGCTCTGCCGGTGCCCCTCACTCCCGACCCGCAGCCCCCTGCCAGCCCAGCCCTGGGCTCCCCCCAGCTCTGCCGGTGCCCCTCACTCCCGACCCGCAGCCCCCTGCCAGCCCAGCCCTGGACTCCCCCCAGCTCTGCCGGTGCCCCTCACTCCCGACCCGCAGCCCCCTGCTAGCCCAGCCCTGGGCTCCCCCCAGTCCTGCCGGTGCCCCTCACTCCCGACCCGCAGCCCCTGCTAGCCCAGCCCTGGGCTCCCCCCAGTCCTGCCGGTGCCCCTCACTCCCGACCCGCAGCCCCCTGCTAGCCCAGCCCTGGGCTCCCCCCAGTCCTGCCGGGGCCCCTCACTCCCGACCCGCAGCCCCCTGCCTAGCCCAGCCCTGGGCTCCCCCAGCTCTGCCGGTGCCCCTCACTCCCGACCCGCAGCCCCTGCTAGCCCAGCCCTGGGCTCTCCCCAGTCCTGCCGGTGCCCCTCACTCCTGACCCGCAGCCCCCTGCTAGCCAACTCTAGGCTCCCCCTGAGCAGACATTGCCAAGCTGGGATGTTTCAAGATGCCGTGTCTGAGCTCTACCCCGAGCTGTTCGTTCTCACCCCAGAGCAACCAGCCCCTGCCTCCCATCTCCCCACAGCCATGGAGCCGCTGTCTTCCCAGCACAGGATGGGGAGGGGGAGCAGGGGAGATGGGATGGGGGAGACTCAAAGATGGGGGGGCAGGTGAGGTGCCATGTGGCTCTGATGTTTGGGCAGAGGAAGCGGGGGCAGGGGCGTGAGCAGAGCCTGAGGTGGCATGTGGGGGGGGGAGATGGCGCTGGATGGGTTGGGGGTTCAGGAGGGGATGGGATGGTGGCGAGGGGGACTAAGGTGGGGTTGCAGCCTAGGGCGAGGGTACGCTGGGTAGGACAGCATGGTGGGGGAGCGGATGCGGTGCAAGCAGAGTGATGGAACAGCTGGGTGGAGTTTGGTGGGGGCAGGGTGGGCAGGACAGCTGGGCGGAGTTTGGTGGGGGCAGGGTGGGCAGGACAGCTGGGGGTGTGGGGCAGGGCGGGCAGGAGGCTGAGATGGAGTAGGCAAGGGCAAGGTGGGTGGGGGCACTGGAGTGGAGGTGGGCAAGGGAGGGGACCAGGGGCTGCGGGGTAGTGGGGCCAGGCTGGTCCAGCCAAGCAGTTGCCCCCAGCTCCCGGGTCCCACGGCCACACGTGCGAGCAGCGCCCTGCCCGGCCCGCCCCACCTGACTTGACGGAGCAGTGGATGTGGGCCTTGGACTCGTAGTAGACCCAGTCGAAGCCAGCCTCCACGGCCAGGCGTGCCAGCAGCCCGTACTTGTTGCGGTCCCGGTCGGAGGTGGTGATGTCCACGGCTCGGCCCTCGTAGTGCAGCGACTCCTCCGAGTGGTGCCCGTCCTCGTCCCAGCCCTCGGTCACCCGCAGCTTCACCCCCGGCCACTGGTTCATCACCGAGATGGCCAGGGAGTTCAGGCGGTCCTTGCAGCGCTGCGGGCAGGGGGCAGAATTAGTGCAGAGCCGGGAGGGGGCAGCACAGAGTGGGGAGTGGGGCAGCACAAAGCAGGGGCAGGACAAAGCGGGGGGCAGGACAGAGGGGGGAGGGGCAGGACAGAGCGGGGGGGGGCAAGACAGGGGGAGAGGCAGGACAGACCGGGGGGCAGGACAGAGTGGGGGGGTTAGGGTTTATCAGCCTGTTACTCTGCACCCCCAGGACATTGCTGGGAGCCAAACAGGCTGTACATGGGGCAGCCGGACCCGACCCCTGCTGGGGGGTTCCCCCTCCCTCTGCCCCATACTGCAAAGCCAGCCCTCTGCTGCCCCCTGCTGCATGTGGGGATCCCCCATGCCCCACACAGAGTGCACCTAGCTACCCCTCCCCCCGCGCCCTGTAAATCCAGCCCCTCCCCGCCCCATCACAGCCCCCGCTCTGCAGCCTAGGCGGCCTGGGCCGTTCTCGTCACCCTCCCGAGACCCCTGTGGCGGGGCCATGCCCCCAGGGGGACGGGCAAGCAGTGCCGCACACAGCGACTGGACGCAGGTCTTTCCTGGGGGATCCAGGGAATCAGACCCCGCGAGTGTGTGAATCGTTTACACCCACCCCCAGAATACACGGGACTGTTTCACCGGCCGCCGTGGGCCCCGTCCCCCCAGCTTCTTCGGGGCTCCCTGAAGTGCCTCACGTTAATCGAACTCACCTGGCGTAGCCGCACACACCTGTCCCCCTTCCCAGCTCGCTGCTGCCTCGAGCAACCCACCCGTGGCCGCGAGTAGCCTTTGGCCCCGATGCAAACTGACCCTTTCAGCCCCCGCTTTGCTCTCTGGCTCCTGGCCAGATTCAGAGCCATGCCGGTACTTTGCCTCTCCCGCCATGACGCCTTCGCGTCTTTCGTCACCTCCAACCCTGGTGCGACGCCTTCCCTGCCCCTCCCCGGCGCCCCCACCCATGGCCTGGGCCGGTGCCACGCACCGCCCGGAGCTGCTCCCGCGTGCCCATACGGGCCAGGCTCCCTTCAGCAGCCCCACAGCCTCTGGGCACGACCCGCACTGCCCCGGGGTGCCACGTCCACACCACACCCCTGGCAATCGCTTCCCCGTCCACGGGGGGCGAGGCTGGCAGACCCCTTCCCCGACTGGCAGGGCCAGGGCCACACGGGGAGCCACGGAGTCGGCAGGAGCTGAGCCCTGCAGTCACTTCCCCCTCACACCCGCCCCGCGGGGGCCCTGGCGCAGTCTGGGCAACCCTCTGCTGGGCCTGGCAGTGAGGGGCCCAGCTGGTGCCCATGGGTTTGGTGAGGTGGGCACTGACTCATGGGGCGGTGGGCTGAGACCCGGCAGACCCTCACCCCGGCCTCCCGGCAGCTGGCAAGGCTGTTGGGTCACTGCTAGCCTGGGGGGTTAGAACCAAGCCCCACAGCCCCCTCCCAGCCCCCATGGGGGGCGGTTCTCACTCTCACTGCCCCAGTGCTGGGGGAGGGGGAGGCTGGAAACACTCTCCAGCGGCTCCCTCCGTAGCCAGGGTGGGTGCCCTGCAGAGCCGGGGGAGGGCGCCCCCAGGAGGACAGGGATGGGGCTGCACTGATGGCTAAGGTCTGAGGGAGTCTCCTGGTCAGATCAGAGCCCCCAGCGAAAAACCATCCCAAACATGGGCACCGCAGACCCCAGGGACGGCCCTTCCCCACGCTCCGCCCCCAGCCCCAGGACAGCCCCTCCTCCAGCCCCCGACCCCCAGGGAAACGCGGCCCCAGGGCAGCCCCCAACCCAGCCAGGGAGGAACGTGCTCCTGCTGGTTCTACAACCTGGGGGTGTGACTTTCGTGCCAGCCCATAGCCCCATGTCCGAGCCCTCTGTATCCCCCTCCCCCACTGCCGCCCCTCCCCCAGGCACCCGGAGCCCCGGGCTCCCACCAGGAACAGGGATCAGCGCAAGGAAGGGTTTGGAGACAGATGCACCCCCAGAACCCAGGCCGCGAACTGGGAGGGCCGGGCCGGGGTTCAGTCCAACTTGGTGACCTGGGGGGGAGCTTGGTCTGTCATCCCTGAACCACTGGAGCCAATATCAGCGGCATGAGAAACCCCCAACTTGCCGGACCTGAGGCAACCCCTCACTCCCGACCCACAGCGGCCTGCTATGCCAGCTCTGGACTCCCCCCAGCTCTGCCAGTGCCCCTCACTCCCGACCCGCAGCCCCTGCCAGCCCAGCCCTGGGCTCCCCCCAGCTCTGCCGGTGCCCCTCACTCCCGACCCGCAGCCCCTGCCAGCCCAGCCCTGGGCTCCCCCCAGCTCTGCCGGTGCCCCTCACTCCCGACCCGCAGCCCCCTGCTAGCCCAGCCCTGGACTCCCCCCAGCTCTGCCGGTGCCCCTCACTCCCGACCCGCAGCCCCCTGCTAGCCCTGCCCTGGACTCCCCCCAGCTCTGCCGGTGCCCCTCACTCCCGACCCGCAGCCCCTGCCAGCCCAGCCCTGGACTCCCCCCAGCTCTGCCGGTGCCCCTCACTCCCGACCCGCAGCCCCTGCCAGCCCAGCCCTGGACTCCCCCAGCTCTGCCGGTGCCCCTCACTCCCGACCCGCAGCCCCCTGCTAGCCCAGCCCTGGACTCCCCCCAGCTCTGCCGGGGCCCCTCACTGCCGACCCGCAGCCCCTGCTAGCCCAGTGCCCCTCACTCCCGACCCGCAGCCCCTGCTAGCCCAGCCCTGGGCTCCCCACAGCTCTGCCGGTGCCCCTCACTCCCGACCCGCAGCCCCTGCCAGCCCAGCCCTGGCTGCCCCGCAGGAGGATGGAGGGTGAAGAATAGCCATGTGATGATAATTGTGAGACGTTCCAAGGCTGCAGCTGAGGCTTCTACTCTCACGTCAGTTGTGAGCTCAGGAAGCTCCAAGCCCAGCTTGGGGTCCCCGTGGGGAAGGCTGGACAGGGCATCACCGCCGGGCATTCAGAGCCTGGCACTGAGTTCTCTCCCTGGGGCTCTCCCAGGCCCCCCCTGCCCCTCCCAAACCAGGAGGCCCCACCCTGCGGCTGCTCTGGCCATGACACCTCCCTTGGGCTGGGGAGGGCCCAGGAGAGGCAGAAGAGAGTTTGCTGGAGGGGCTGACGGGGTCAGTGCAGGGATGGGAGGTATGGGCTCGGGGCTCCCCATCCACAGGTCTAGGGTGGGTGACAGGCAAAGTCTGCAATGTGAGGGGGGGCCACAGTGCTGGGGGGCCCTTCCTGATGCAGTGGGGCTGGGGGGGGGCTGTGATGCAAAGGGAGGGGGTGGGGGAAGGGGGCCTTTGCCCCAGAGAGGTTCCTCTCTGCCCTCCCCCCGCCCCCCTCCCGCGTGCTCCCCAACTGCCGGGTGCAGTCTCAGTGTCGGGGCCAGCCAGAGATAAGACACGGAAGGAATTTAACAAACACAATTCATGGGGGGGGGGGTTTGTCCCCATGAACCACCTCCCCTTTGCTGCGCAGGGACATGGCACCACGGCGTGGGTGCCACCAGCCTGACTGGGAGTGGGGCCACCACGTCCCCCTCAGCCCCCTGGCCATGCAGCCCAGCCAGCCCCAGAGACACCCCTCCTGGCCGGGCGGGGAGGCTGGCACGGGGCCCGCTCAGCTCTGCAGCCAGGCAGGGATGGGCCCGGTCCCCCGGGCACTGGTTTGACTCCAGCTCACAGCAGCTGGCAGGAGGGGGAGGCTGTTCTTCCTTGAGGGCCCACAGCAGCCCTGATCCCCCCCGCCGCCCTAGCTGCACCTGACATCCTCCAAGCCAGGGGGCGCACATGCGGTGGCTCCCATAAACCCCAGCATCAGGCAGGGCTGCCCCCCTGGTCCCCGGGCATCACGCGCCATGACTGCGCTCTCTCCGACCCCGACCCCTTCCCTCGGCAGACAACGGCATCCGGCCAGGACGCCCCTCCCCAGCCTCATCCCATCGCCCCTGGTCACACCCCTCGACCCCCCAGCATGCAGCCCCATAGCCCCAGCTCAGTCTGCACATGGCCCCCAGCTCAGCTGTTCCTTTCCTCCCTTCCACCCCATCCTTGGAGCAGCTCCTCTGGGATGGACAGACAGAAACACACCCACAGGATAGATGAGAGGAAAAGGGGGGAACAATTGCAGCAGGACGCTGAGCTCAGGGGGTCCCCTAAACATCTGTGCAATGGGAGTGGGTGGGGCCCAGCAAAGCTGGGGTAACTGGAGCCCCATATGGGCCTGCCAAGCCTGCACACACGGCATGTTCACCTCTTCCCGGCGGTGGATCCCCCCAGCAGATTAGAGCCGCCCCTACCATGCCCAGGCCCCCTATGCTTACAGATCCCCTGCAAGCTCCTGGCCTCTTCCCCACCCCTCTCTCAGCCCTTCCTCCCAGTGCACATCTGGCCGTCAGGTTATTTCCCCCTTCTCCTGGCTGCATAGGACCCTCACTCCGAGGAGCCGAGTCACGGGTCAGGACCCCCCGTGCTAGGTGCTGCATGGGTAGAAAGATGCTTGCTGATTGCTGGGTCCCCCATGGGATTCTCAGCTCCTCACAGTTTAGCGTCACCTGAAATCCTCCCCAGCCCCAGGCACACCCCCTGCATTGCACTTCCCCATCCATGGGGCACACTGTCCCAGGCGATGGAAACATGGCTGCACAGGGCAGGCGTCAGGGGAAGGGGGCTCAGACCCCAGCTGCTTTCGCTTCGGCCGCTGGCCAGGGAGCAAACCTGTCCCACCCCAGCCTAGGGCGGCTCCCAGCCACCCAGGCCCTGCTGTGTGGACACACGCCAGGGAGGCGGTGTGCAGGGGGCAGCTGGGAGGGCGAAGGTCCCTGTGGCTGGAGCGAAGTGCTGCTCTGCCATTCCCAGCTGTAGCCAGCAGGTGTCACTGCCGTGCCAGAGAGGCCCCACCGCCGAGTGCCTGGGGACGGGGCAGGGATCGCAGCCAGGCGCTCCCCTTCGGGGCACGGGATGCTCCCCGGCACCAGGCTGCCTCCAGCTCAGAAAGCAGGGCATGGCCAGGGCAGTGCAGCTCAGGTACACCCCATCGTGGGGCGGGGGCAAAGGTGCCCACAGGGCGGGGGAGACAGAAATCCCTCCATGCCCGGATGCCCTGTACCAGTGGGCACGCTGCAGCCTGGCCAGCGTCCACACGGCTACATGTAGTCTGGGATCTGCCTTGGCCTGTTGCCAGGTCTTCAGTGAGAGCAGAGCTGGCTGCCCCCCGACCCAGGCCACCGCCATGGCGACAGGTGGCAGCCACCTACTCAGATCACGACGGGGAGAGAGAGGGAGAGATCCCAGAGACTGGCACACAGAGCTGGCCACAGAGACAGGCTCAGGACTGGAGCAGGGCTGCCAGGTGCTTGCATCACTGCCTGGGGTGGTGATGGCTGGGAAGGGCACAGCAAGAACCCACCCTGGGTTCAGTTTGCCCAGTGCCATGAGCAGCCACCCGAGGAAATCACTGGCAGGGGAGTCACAGCGCCCAGTTGGCCTGTGGAACTCTCTGCCACAAGAGGGAGCCGGCGAGGGCAATGTCATGGCTGTGCAGTGCGTGAGTAGCTCTGCACGCTAAGGACACGAGCGACAGGATGGATCCAGTCTCACGCTGCAGGACTTTCTGCCCTCCCATTCTGCACAGCCAGCCAGGGACATTACAGGTGGGGGGGAGGGTAATGCTGCCCCCTGAGCCATCGGCTGTGGAGACAGGCTGCTAGCCTAAGCAGGTGCCCTGGGCCCTCAGAGGGGCTGGTGCCCTTCACACAGCAGCTGGTTTCAGGCAGGAGTGGCATCCAACACCCTGTCTCAGGTATGCAGCCCCTGCGGTTCCAGAGCTCGGAGAGCTGTAGGGGGAGGCCAGAGGGAGAGCACGGCTTGGAGATGCCCGGAGAGACCCCGGCCCACGTGGCAGGTAAGCAGGCTCACTCACTATGAAGGACCAGCTCCCCCAGGGCGAGGAGCCAGCACCAGCCCAGTCAGCACTGACCAGAGGTCGTGCCCAGCTGCTCAGGGCTCCCAGCTGAGTTCTGTGCCAAGCTTGATGGTCCCAGCAGAGGCCGAGGGCTGAACGGGGCCTTGGAGAGGGAGTGCCCCTCCCCTAGGGTGATCCTGCTCGCAGGGCGTTTGGCACCAGGCTCATATGCTGTGCCCGCCTGGCACCTTCAGCTCCCAGCGGAGTCACTCACAAGCAAGACCAGGCGGGACCCACTCCCACCAGGAGCCCCAATATGGCAGGGCCAGGCTGAGCCCCCCACACCACACACACATGGAGGGCAGCCAGCAGCCACACCCTGGATGGGGACCAAGGCCCTGCCGTCCCTGTGTTGCGGGGGACGGGGAGTCAGTGGCATTTCCTCAGCAGGGCAGCCTGCCCAGGCACTGCCAGCCCCACTATGCAGGGTGGGGGGTGAGGAGCCCGCCGGGAGGGGGCAGCACACTGGGTCTGCAGGCCAGTGGGGCTGGGCAATGAGGCTGGCCCAAATGGCACTGTGGGGGGGCACCTGAGAAATTCCTCTGCCCAGCGAGGGTGGTGAGGGGCCGGCTCCGTGGGAGGGGAAAGGTGGGGCCTTCTCTCAGCACCTGCCAGCAGGCCCAGCGCAGAGCAAACAGACGCAGATTCTTGAGGCAGATGAACCGATAAGGGGAGGCGGGGAGCAGCCCTCCCCGCCCCCCAGCATCTCCCAGCACCACCCAGACGCCCAGACCCTTGGACTTGGGGAAAACAGGTTCTGAGGTGAGTCAACAGCAGTAAAAGCCAGTGAGGCGAGGGGTTGCATGGGAGTGGGTCCCGTCCCCTCCCAGCCATCCTGGCAGCGTGGAGCCTGCACCTCAAGCCGCCTGGGGCCCTAGGGGCATCTCTCCCTTCACCCTCCCCTGCAGGGGGCACTGGGAAGGCTGCTGCCCCAAGGGCGCTGGGAGTCCTGGTGCGATTGGCTGGCAGCCCCCTGCTCCCCCAGCCAGGTGTCCCTACATCTTGGCCACTGGGCTCCCACCAGGGCCAGGCCAGCGGGCATCCAGCCCCCAGGGCAGCAGGGCACTTTCAGATGTAATGTCTGGGCTGTGGGGTACCGAGAGGCTCTGGTCAGAGCCCCATTGGGCTGGCCACTCCACACACACGGCGAGAAGAGTGACACCCTGGGATTACTTGGGACCGGTTCTGCCCTGCGTGGTGCAGCGAGAGACAGGAATAGGGCTCACAGTTGGGACATGGGGCCTGTCCCCTCTAGGGGACGCTGGCTGTGATCAGGCTCCAGAGCAGAAGACTGGCTGGCTCGGGGGAGGGCGGGGGGAAAGGGGTGGAATGGGGCACTGGGACTTTCCCCTCTAGGGGGCGCTGGCTCCGATCTGGCCCCAGGGCAGGGACTGGCTGGCTCAGGGGGACAGGGAATGGGACATGGGGCCTGTCCCCTCTAGGGGGTGCCGGCTTTGATCCAGCAACTGGCATTAGTGACCCATGTGACAGTCATTACTAGCTGTGAAGTGCTTTGGGCTCCCAGCCCACACCCCAGCTGGCACTAACTGCCCCTGGCTGGCAGACTCAGCAGAGGTCCAAGCAGGTCAGGCAGGAGCAGCTTGGAGTGCAGGGGGCTGTCCCGGGCGGCACCTATCCAGGGATCCAGTCCCCAGTGATGTCAGACTGCCCGACACTCACTTCCTGGAGTTCTCCTGTCCTCACACACACCAAGGCCGGAGTCCACCGAACCTCCGCTTTCACAGCCTCCTGTGTTCAGCCCAGGGCATGCAAGCCATTCCCCCGCCAGCCAGGAACCCACGGGCCCAGCGCAGCCAGCGCCGGCCTCCAGCCCTGGGACCCAGTCTCTGCTGGGAAATTCACCTGGGCTGTAAATCAGCAGAGAGGGCTGGGACCAAGCTCCTTATCTGCATTCCTGAAAGCCGCAGGCATTCTCCTTGCCCACACCGAAACGCCGGGTAACCTTCGTCCCGGAGCCACCCTCTCCTGTCCCAGGCCGCCTCTGCTGGCTTCCAGGTGGAATTTACGACAGGCCATTGTCCCCTACGTTAGACTGGGCCACGCCCGGGGAGGGTCAGTAACTTCCAAACACTCCGCCCCAGACATCAACCCACCCCCTACCAGCAACCCCCCAGCTCCCAGAGGCAGGGGGAAACTGAGGCACGGAGAGGGTGAGGGCTTGGCCAATGCTGCGCAGCGAGCTGCCTGCTCTGAGTGAAGGCTGTGCCTGCTAGGCAGCTCTGCCCAGGGCTCTGGGGACATTCACCTCCGCAGTGGAGAGCGCGAGGTTCTGCTTTGCCGCCCTGGGCAATGCCAGCCGGTCACGCGGACGGAGCCCTGCAAGGCCACTGCCCCCACCTCCACCGCCCTCCCGGGTGCTCAGCCCCTGGACAGAGGCCGGGTGGGGGGCACGGTGCTCGGTGTCATGCCCGCGGCAGTCACACCCGAGCCCTCCCCTCCTCGCCCCATTCTCAGGCCCTCGTCGAAGAGGCCTGCCCCGCCGCGGAGCTGGGCACCCAGGTGTGCCCAGAGCCTTTGTGGGAAGCGGCCAGCGACCAGCGACCAGCTCCTGCTCTGCTCCCCGTGGGCCCAAGTCACTCGTGCCAACAAGGGGCTCCTACCGCCCTGCGGAGCCCACGCAGCCACCTGCTCCACTCAGTCCCCAGCGGGCAGCGCCAGCAGGGACCCGGCTGTGGTCTCAGACCCTAGCCGAGGGGACAGAGGACCCGACCACTGAGCAGCCAAGGGTCAGTCTGTGCTGTGGGTGCTGACAAGGGTCGCCCCAGCCGTCCCCCTTTCCTGGTCCCTCTGCAGCCCGAGAAGGCTCTCTACACTGCTTTGGCACAGCTCCACGACCCCCAGCAGCTCTGCCTCCCCAGCCCTGGGGCGCAGGCACCCTCCACTGCCCCCCTCCCCCCACTGCAGCACTGGGTCCAAGACACCCTCCACTGCCCCCCTCCCCCTACTGCAGCACTGGGTCCAAGACACCCTCCACTGCCCCCCTCCCCCCCCTGCAGCACTGGGTCCAAGACACCCTCCACTGCCCCCCCTCCCCCCACTGCAGCACTGGGTCCAAGACACCCTCCACTGCCCGCCCCACAGCACTGGGTCCCAGGGCTCTGGAGATTTCAGACACTGAACCCTACCCCCAGCCAGTGCCAAGGGATTGCCCAGCTGGGGGCCTCCCGGGGCAGGCAGGGGGATGCCACTGCCCACCCCCTCCCGCTCCCTCCAGCGCTCTGGTCCTCCACAGCATCCGCCCCCGACTCCCTCCAGGGACGGGAACTTCCTAGCGGGCTGGGGCAGCAGCTTGCGCCCGGGAAGCCCCACGTGACTCCGAGCATCTTGTGGCTGCCGGGGGCCGGCTGTGAACTCGCCACCTCCTGCGCCTCGGACTGGGGCTGACGGGCGCGGGGCCCGCAGCCGGAGACCCAGAGCGCACGCTGCCCGGCAGGTGAATGGGAGAGCCGCGCCGCGCGCCCTGATCCCCGCAGCTCCTCTCCGCCTCCAGATCCTGGGCCCCCCTGCAACGCTGCCGCCCCGCGCCGCCGGTCACTGCATGGGGAAGGTCCCCGGGCTCGGGGGAAGGAGGGCAGCGGAGGGCAAACAAACGAAGCCGGGCCTGGGAGAACAGAGGAGACCCCCGCCGCGCATCGGGGATCTGACTGGAGAGGGGCCTTCGGGAGGGCAGGTGCCTGCAGCAGAGGGTCACCGCAGCGGGCAGCTATCCGGGGAGGAAGCATCTGCTCGGGCCATTGGTCTACCCCGCACGGCGGGGCACTTCCAGGCCTCCCTCCCAGCACCTGAGCCGGGGCCCCCGGACAGGATGTGGAATGTCCCCCGGAGCCCGGCATGGCTGAAGCAGGGATCAGGGCAGGAGCCGGGGGAGCGGGGAGGAAGAGAGCAGGGCTCCCCCGGAGAGGAAGGACTGCAGGGCGCAGAGGGCTCAGGAGCCTGGCATGGCCCGGGGAGGGGCTGGGCCCGTACCTGGGTCATGAGGCGGTCGGCTCCCGTGTTCTCTTCGTCCTTGAAGATGATGTCGGGGTTGTAGTTAGGGGTCAGCTCCTTAAAGCGCTCCGAGTTCCGGGCGATCTTGCCCTCGTACCTGCCGCTGGCGCCCAGGGTTTTCTCGGGCACGTTGGGGCTGAACTGCTTGTAAGCCAGCGGGATGAGCTTCCTGGGGGGCCGCCGGCGGCTGCCCACCACCCGGCCCGGCCCGCACCCCCGCACCGCCGGGGCCAGCAGCAGCGCGCATCCGCTCAGGAGCAGCAGGAGCCGGGCCAGCTTCATGGCAGGGAAGTCCGGGGACAGCGGGGACGCTGGGCAGCTCCGCCGGGGAGGGGAGGCGGGCGACAGGGGGGTCCTCAGCCCGGGAGCCCTTCAGGCTCGGCCGGGGTGCTCGCCGTGCCCCAGGGGGGTCGCCATCCAGTGCGTAAAGGCGGCCGTGTGCCGGGCAGGTGCTGCCGTGCGCCCCGCTGCTGCTGCCCGGCGCCTGGGGCTGGCCGCCTGCTCTGAGCTTTCCTGCCCGGCCGCCTCCAATAAATAGCGAAGGGCCGTTTGTTTTGGCAGCGGGGCGGCTGCTGCGGGGCCGGGGCCCGGCTGCCCGGAGTCCCCGCGGTTGGCGCCCTGGTGGTCAGGGCGGCGGTGGCTGCAGGGGCTGGAGCTGGAGCCGGAGCCGCTGCTGTCTCCACTCCCAGGGCACGAGTGAGAGGGGAAATTGAAGAGATCCGGGATCGGGAATCGCCAGGACCGCACCCTGCCCATGTCCCAGCCTCCCAGCTCCCTCCCTCCGCCTCCCCGCGGAACCTGCCATGGGCCGCCGGCAGCCTCCTCCCCCTGCCAAGAGCGCCGCTGGTCGGAGCCCACCCCACTGGCCGGGGAGGGTCCCGCTCCACCTGTCCCTGAGGGCGAGCCCCGGTAGGCAGCTGCCCCCACCCCGACAACGAGAGCGAGGCCGGAGGGCTCCCTCCACCCCGGGAACCAGCCCTGCTCTGGGGACCCCGGCTCCCAGGCCACCCGGGCGACTTCGACAGGTGTCAAAAAACACACGTGGAGGGGCCCTGAGCCCGTCATAGCGGGCACCCCCCACCCGGGAGCCCTGCAGCCCAAGCAGGGCCCCCCACTCCTGGGCTCTATTTGCTCGGGGCTGCAGGTGTGCGGGGTTCCTGGAGCAGAGCAGGCGAAGATTCCTGTTCCCCCTGCATCAGGGCTGATACCAGATGCCCCAGCGCGCCCTGGGAGGGGGGATCAAACAGAGCAGGGAGGCAGCTGGTTGAAATTTAACCACAATATTCTCGGTCTCTATTGTTTGGAGGGAGGCCCGATATTTCCACAACAGGATTATGGGATCTGATTAACTCGCTGAGACAACAATGCGGGGCTGGGATGGGCTTCCCCTTCCAGCTGCCAATAGGGGAAAGTAAACACAACACCCTGATTTCACTACCCAGGCCAGGGGCCGGCCAAGCCCCCTCCAGCCCCCTCGGCTCTGCACCAGGGAGGGCGCTGTGCCCCTCTCCCCACAGCCAGCCTCATCTCCCCAGGTGGGCCAACTCCTTTGGGCAGCCTCCGCCCAGTGCCACAGCCCTTCCCGGGGTGCTCTGGCTAGGCCAGGCGAGAGGCAGAAGCCGGGGCGGGTCCCAGAGGGGCAGAGCCCAGGTCAGGCTAGTTCCCAGGAGTGGCCTGCCATGCCGAGATGGGTGCCATGCTGGCCCGGGGGGCACCATGCTGCAGGGGAGCAAGCAATGGGGTTCATTCTGGGCACCTCAAGCATGCGGGCGCAGCCAGAAGCACCCACTGAGGTGGGATGCCCAGCTTGAGAGCCCTGCGACTGGATTTCCAGAGGTGCTGGGACCGCCGGCTCCCAAGGCTGCTCCATCCCCTGCCCCAGCACCTGTCCCCTCGGGGAAGCAGGACTGGGGCCGCCAGCTGCACGCCGAGAATCAATAGCCACGTATTAACCAACACGCCATGGCCTCCGTGAGCCCTGCCAGCCAAGGGGCTAATGCTGCCCTCCCCCTCCAGTGCCACATGGGAAAGTGCCAGGTGAGCAGCCCCCAACTCCCCAGTTAGCCCCCTGCATCTCCCTGGCAGGACCCCTCAGGGATGGGCTCCTGGGGGCTTGGCACAGAGGGGAGGGCTTGGGGCATGCTGCTTGGGAGGCATTTTCCAGGCCATTAAGGGGCGAGGCAGGAGCCTCATCCCACTCCACCTGCCTCTCTGGGGCTTCGCCATCCCATGGCAGGGCTATGTGGGGAGGGCAGGGCTGGGCTGGGGACTGGGCACTCACCAGGAACAGGAGACTGGTCTAGATCGGTCGCTCCGCTGGCCTGGCCTGGCACTCCTAGGGACAGGCCTTTTGCAGCATCCGCCGTGAACTCTCCCCTCTAGCCCAGAGACACCTTCTCCAGCTGGTGGGTAACCCACCCCCAGGACCTGCGTATGAGAAACGCACCCGCCAGCACACGGAGCCACGATGCCCATGTACGTCCCCGACTCCGCTCACGGTGCCTCGACACCCACATACACCCCCCCAACCCCGCTCACAGTGCCACCATGCCCATGTATGCCCCCAACCCCACTCACGGTGCCACGACGCCCACGTACGCCCCCCAATCCCGCTCACAGTGCCACCATGCCCACGTATGCCCCCAACCCCACTCACGGTGCCACAACGCCCACGTACGCCCCCCCAATCCCGCTCACAGTGCCACCATGCCCACGTATGCCCCCAACCCCACTCACGGTGCCACGACGCCCATGTACGCCCCCCAATCCCGCTCACAGTGCCACGTGGCCCACATACGCCCCCCAACCCCGCTCACAGTGCCACGAGGCCCACGTACGTCCCCCGACCCCACTCACGGCGCCACAACGCCCACGTACGCCCCCCCAACCTCGCTCATGGTGCCACCACACCCACGTACACCCCCCCAACCCCGCTCACAGTGCCACGAGGCCCACGTACGTCCCCCGACCCCACTCACGGTGCCACGACACCCACGTACACCCCCCAGCCCAGCTAATGGCACCACAACCCAGGTATGCCCCACCACCCCCAGGCAGCACAAAGCCCACCAATGCCCCCCTCACAGTGCCATGACACCCAACGTCCCCCAACACCCGGCAGCACCGCAACACCCACATAAGTCCCTCCCCCACACACTCATGATTCTGTGTCACTTGGTTGCGGAGCTGTTTCCTTCCCACAACTACCACTGGGGTTGCTGCAGAGAAGGGGAGCCCTGGAGGCCTCTGCCGGACCCATGGGCATCCGATGCCACAAAGCAACAGCCTTGAGTCCGGGTGAGTGGTGCCGCTCACCCCCTACCACGGGCTCTCCAAACCGTCTGGATCACTAACACTAACAAGCAACCAGCAAGTGAGTACAGACCCCTGCCTCACTGGGCCCCTCAACCTCCCCACAGCCCATCAGTATCTCCTGAAGCGCCCCACACCATCAGAGCTGTGGGGGAGGGGCCTTGCAGCTAGGTGTGACGAAGCAGGACTGTTCTTAATGTTTCTTCTGAATATTGTGGGGGTCCGAGGGGCCTGGGTTGGGACTGAGACCATGTGGGGGGTCCAAGGGGTCCTGATCTTAGTCAGAGGGTCTGTGCAGTGCCCAGCATAACAGGGCCCTGACCTCGGTCGGGGGCTGGGCCATGCCTGGCATGACAGGGCTCTGTTCTCGGTTGGGGACTGGGCAGCGCTTGGCACAATGGGGCCCTGATCTCAGTCAGGGGCTGGGCAGCACCCGGTGCAATGGGTCCCTGATCTTGGTCGGGATCTGGGCAGTTCCTGGCACAATGGGGCCCCCATAACCCCTACTGTTAATATCCATAACAGCAAGGCTGCTCCAGGGCTGGGCAGGGGCAGGTCCAGAGGAACAAACCTCACCTCACAATCACAAATTAAGACAGCAGGAATGCCCGCGGACAGCTCAAAGGGCAGGGAACCCCAGAGCATACGGGAAAGGCCCCCACGTGTGTCACCTCCCGCCAGGCCCTCAGCCCCAGCACTAGGGCGTCCGGGCCCGGAGCATGCACAAGATAGGGAAAGAGAATCCATCACACTTGTTAATAACCAAGGCCTAATGAAGAGCAGCAGTCCCCCTACCCTTGGAGGAAGTGAGCCCCTGCCCCCTGGGGGCTAGAGGGAATCCCTTGCCCATGGGGCTGGAGACTAGGGGGAATACCCCACCCATGGGGCTGGAGGCTAGGGATACCCCCTCCTGCTCTGGATCCATCCCTGTGCTCTGTGGGAAGGGCAGAAGCATGCAAAGCGCTGCACAAAACGAGCCCACCCCCTCAAAGTGTGGGGGCATAGATGGCACTTTGGGGACAGGCAGACCCTGCTGTCACCCATAGGGCAAGAGGGAGCAAGGTTCTCTGCCGGGGGATGTCCCCCAAAGAGCCAGGGCTGTTCCCTAACCACTGGTGGGCCAGTGAGGTGGGGGCCAGAACTCCTGGGTCTATTCCCTGCGCTGACTTGCTGGGTGACTTTGGGCAAGTGCTGCCTCTTTCTGTGCCTCAGTTTCCCCTCTGTACAAGGCGGTGCTGAGCCCAGGGAAGGTGCTTCTTGAGATCATCACATTATTTATAGCATGACCCTCCCCAGTTAGTACTTGGGCACCTGGCACTGGGCAGAGCAGGAAACCCCCCAGGGTTGGACCAGGCCTGCTGGGGGGCTGACAGAGCCGCATGGCCCCAGATCTTGCAGAGCGGGAGCAGGACTAGCCCCTCGGGCACAGAGCAGAGAGGACCCAGCAGCTTGCCAGCTGAGCCAGGGAGGGAGCTGCAGTCTAGGTGGTGCTATTTCCTTAGTTTTGTACCAGGCCAGCTCGGGATTTTCCTCTCCCAGCTCAGCTGGGGTTCCCCCCCCTTTCTAAAAATACTTGAAAGCAACTGAAAGGTCCCTTTAATCGAGGCCACAGAGCCGTTGTTAAGGCCACGGGCCGTGCCCTGCATAATGGCTTCATTAAACCCTGCAGAAACTAATATTTATGGACTCAAATGATGGAGGCTGAGCCTTTAACGTGCACTGGGAGCCTGAACCGAGCCGGGTCCTGGGAGAGCAGGGGGCTGCGGCACTGGCAGAGCTGAGGGGGAAGCTCAAGTCTCTGGTGTGTTTTGGGGGCCTTTCGCTGTTTGAAGCCCACCCCCCAGCACGGGCTGGGCAGTCCAGCGCTGCCAACGCCCCGAAAGGCACAGAGCAAGGTGCCCCTGGCCCGCTGTGATGGCTCTCGTGGCTGCCAGATGGCACAGACCCAACACTGGCCCCTCCTCCAGCCCAGCAATTAATTCTGCCCCCCTGCAGCCCCACCTCTACTCCTGCAGCTGCAGGGGCTCTGCACCCTCCTCCCCCCTCGCCAGGACAAGGGATGGGGGGAAGCAGAACCACGCATTGCTCACAGGAGAGGGACGAGGCGCCGCCCTGAGCTGCTCTTTAGAGCCCCCTCCCCTCCCTAAAATTTCCCCTGGCTCCTGGGGAAGGGGTGGGGCAAAGAGCAGCAACTCCAATTGGCTGCCCTTCCCCAGAGGAAGGGGAAGTGGGGAGAGTGGCCAATCAGAGGGGTCTCCCCCCAGGCAGGGCTGATATCCATGAGATCCCAGCCCTGGCCAAACTCCTGTCTCGCACTGGCTGCCCTGTGAAT